AGATTTACAGGTCAAAGATGAATGAATGTGAACATGTCGTTATTTTTGTGATGTGTCGTCCATCGTATTCAGTTATAGATTACAATCATCCCCTCGGATCCAAAATTGCAAGTTTAAACCCAGAAATGTTTGAATGATGTAGAACATTTATAGCTTATTTGGATGCTTTCGGTATTCTTAAATTTTCCTATGTACACGGTTTAATTGAGGAGCTGTAACTATCACTCCAGGCAACATCATCAGCGCTCAGTTACAAATGGGTTTCAGTTAGATTCTAAGTGACTTCACGAACTTATCTATATCTTCATTTCATGGTTTCATTTTTTCGTTAGCTTACTACTAAATTAATAAATATGCACGGTTGAATAAGACTATGGTTACGCTTGGGTATTACATGACCAAACCATCTGGAAGTTTATATAACTGCCAACAGGTGTTTCACTATTTAGAGTTATTGCAAGTGATTTATGCTTTCTCTGATAACCTTTTTAAATAATTTAAAGTTGCCATGTTTAGTGAAGTTTATCCTACATACTTCAATTTAGTTCGGCATCCAACAAATGAACTGTATACGTTTATGATGAGATATGTTTCATTTCCCACGCTTGAAATTCTAATCTAATAAATACCGTTATAACGAGGTCTTTTCTTTACATAACTTATTAGTTTCTTTCAACTTATTTATTTCGTATCGATTAATATATACATAAATATTAGCACTCTAAAACAAACCGTATGGTTTGCTCATACATTTGGACGCATATAGTGATCTTTTCATCTAAACATTTAAATAAAATACGTAATAATGTCTATGAACAACGTTGAATGCGCATTGTTGTTTTATTTACAGATAAATCTTAAATAAATACTGAAGTTTACATAACCTGACGTGTAGATACGCAATTTATACTCCGATTTTCTATATTCAAGCCTATTATTACATTGAGTAACAAATTAAATTTCAGTGTGCTTCAACTGAAAACAAAAAGTTATTGATCTATGAAAAGTTTTATTTTCACTTTTTTTATAACTATCAAAATTAATGAGAATAGTATATATATGAAACAGAAAATGAGGTCAGTTACACTCATCAATAAAATGTTTCATTTACAAAATATAAGCCACTTAAACAGATAGACACATATACATATGCTATTAATTCTTTAGTGTTAGAGAGTTTAAAACAAATATATTATTCAAATACACCGTGACTTTCCTGTTTCTCAGTTATAACATTTTGAAATTTATAACCTACCGAAAAATGTGATTAACAGGGATGAGGTAAAGTGGTTTTTTGCTTAGAGGATAGGTGATTTTATGGAAATGAAATCCTGTAAAGAATCTATAGAAATCAAGAAAAGCTAGACTTGGAAACTGAAAAATGGCGTTTCAAACGCAAATGCAATTAACGTGAATGTAAATGAAATTTCTTTTACTTTTGTGTAAGGTGATTAATCACATTTCTTTTAACTGTTAAACTTGGCAACTAACCTAGAATAGAAGTAGTAAATAGATGATCTACCACATTGCACAAAAATTATTCACATTATCGAAATATGCATTTACGGAGATCAATTCATTTTAATTTCATTTTTTCTGTTAAAAATATCTAACAGTTTTTCTAATATTATGACAAAACATGTATTTCAGTCTTCTTGTGAAAATACATACGTCGTTTCATGCTAACATATATGAGTCAATAAAATAACACAGTTAAGATAGCTTATATATATATATATATATATATATATATATATATATATATATATATATATATATATATATAGAGAGAGAGAGAGAGAGAGAGCATCTTTCGAGCCTAATAATCCTTCTCACTATGATCTGATCTAAAAAAAATAAATGAGAAATACTAAAGACACCTGATTTTCTAATCTGTTTGGAACAACTTGATATTTTTTTAAACTATAATCATGCTTATTTTATAATCAACTAATTAATGATGCAAGTATATTAAACATTTCATCTATACGCATCTCATGAAAGATTTTTCGATCTTATGCTCAATTATTCTGAAAAACGCATCAACCAAAATCAACTTTTCTGTACATCATTTGCATGTTTACTTAGAAACTTGGAGTATTGTAGAAAATTGTTAAACATTAATAAAAACATCTGTAAAATATTGTTATCGACAACCTTTATAAACTTTCTAAATGACCCGATTCTTAATCTATTTATATAAATGTTCACTAATATGAAAGTCTCTTTGGCTGTCTGTTAGTTTATATATTTATCTGTAGAATTTTGCAGTAGCGTTTAACATTATATTCATAATGTATTTCGAAATGTCAACTGAATCCATTATATGTATATTGCACAAATTCATACATTTATTAGCATAGATGATACATTCGAACCTTGGTCTTTTAATCTGCGAAGTCCATAAGGTCTACCAAGCTGAAAGTCTTTTGAATTTTTTTAGTGTAGAGGCTTCAAAGAATAACTATGAGCTTTTCAAATTATATTCAAAACACTTGACAGGAAATAGCTTACCTTAATGAGGACCAAAATCTAGACAGTTCAGTCTGATTATGAAACCCTGGTAACTAAATCTTTTTTAGTATAGATGTTTGGAACAAACTTGACGAATATCTCTAGCTATCAGATGAAGACAAATAGGAAAAAGTAAGTAAATGAGAAAATTAGACGGAAATCTTTTACATAGTCAAAAACATGACTACTTCGATACTGGCTAGTCTAATTACTTGACCCTTTTAGATGACTATCTTATGCTAGTGTCTTGAATACTCCTTTAAAATATTAATACAATTCCACAGATATGAATAATAATTTCGATCCGTTTGGTTAGACATGTATCATGAACAATAATAAACGAAACTTATCTCCTTAAAAATCGATTTAGTTATCATTTCACTACATCTGTGTAGGTATATTTATCCAATCTACAAAAATTCAAGACTTCGCAAAAAGCTGAGACACAATTAAGTCATGAGAACGTGTTAAATATATAATTTGCCTGACAAGCACACAATTTAAGATTTCTAAAACTAACTTCAAAAGATTAGGACACAGACGTTATTCATGTCAAAGTATTTCTCATTCATTGCATTACACTTGTTTGATCTCAGCATACGTTGTTCGACACATTACTTCAAGTTTTTCCGACTCCAGATTTTTAGCTGCCTCATGGTTCTTTGTTATTCCTGAAGTCGAAAGTCCACCAGAATCATGTGTAAAAATGATTTCGCCGAATTCAGCTGGTCCAAAATTTTGACAGTGAGCAAACCGTCGGGACGAACAAGAAGCCACACAAATAAAATAATTTGATCAGTAGAGTAGGTCAGCAGTGCTGCTCGTTTTGAGCGGTTCTTACACTTTAGGTGGCCCTTGCTGAAATGCTTGATACATTCGAAAAGTCGTTTTTTCGTTGAGTAACGTTCTTCAACGATCCTTAACATTTCATGAATTTTCTTCGAAATTTTTCCAATTCCACGGAAATCTTGATCAAATTAGTACACGTTTTTGCATGACAAATTAAGTAGATATTTTGTTGATGAAAATTTTAGAGTAATCAAGTGAATAATGTTCAAAAAATGTTTGTCGTTTAAATGTTTAAAAGGTACTAAAGTTACTAGTCAAAATGAAGACCATTATAACACTGATCAACAAGAAAAATTTGCTTTTTTTTCCAACTTATTAAAACAACATGATGAGTAATAACCGAAGGTTTTTCTAACATCTTAAGAATATTAGATTGAATGATCGCAGTTAAGTATTTAGATTATAATTAAAAGTTTGATGTCTTAATTAAGGGTTGTAAAACTCCAAAATTTTGGTTCACAGATCCACTATGAAGGTTTTACCAACCAAGTAAAATCGCTTCAATCAAGGTTACTTTATCGGAAATTTTTGAGTCTCCAAAAAAACTTTACAGTCAACTTCAACTGACTAATATATTGCATCCTCTCTCCATTTATATTTCTATATATAAACTACTCAACAACGAACATTCATTCACTTGATCTTTAGTGTTTAATAAAGAAATAATAATCAACTTGATGAAATATCTGCGAATAATTATATTTGCCATAGAAATTCAAATTTTGGTACAAACAAATTAAAATCAACTATATAATTTATTGAAAAATATTGATAAGCTCCGTGTGCAAATATTTTTTTATACGAATATCCATTAGCCTTTTTAAGTTTTCATTATTTTGTTTAGAGTTGGCACAAATTGTTTTTAATCTCCGCTATCAACTTATCACTTATGCTGTCAATACATTTTACACTTCTGTCGTCTTTAATCTTCATTGTGTAGTTTTACCCTAATTTCAAACCACGCATAAATACTGTGCTTGTTTTTTTCTGCTCTCAAAATTTCAAAACTGTTTATCACCAACCGATATTAGTTTCTTCAGATTCCTTATCTTATGGATTACGCTCACACACACGTCTAAGCTACAGATACTGTGAATGAAATTCTGTTTGTATCAGCTTATGTAACCATATGGTTTTGTTTTACTTTGATAACTTAAAGTCCCGCTTCATAACTATTCTTACTACATGATATTAGCTAGTTGATTACTAATCCAATATGCAGTTTATTGCTTGAAGTGATTGTTTTATTCTTATGCATACATATATTCCGATTAGGCGTTTTTGATCAAACGATTTTAAGTGTTCAATGAGAAAAAAAGCTTTATTAGCTATGAAACAGCCGTTTTTAAGACATGCCCTTAACAGATTGTTGTATTTTTAAAATGTTTTCTAGCATTTCACAGTAATCATATTACACTGGAAAATGACAAGGTTAATAACTCAACTATGCAAAACTATTCCTAATAATTCATCACCTTATGATAAGTGCTAATTAAAATAGCGGTTATCGATTTGAAACTAAATTTTCCTGACGTCATACATAACATTTGACTGAGTGATAAATAAAGTTTCATCATTAATTATCAATACATCATTTTGATAAATTGTATTTTTCTTTCATTTTGATAAAAATACAGCACAATAATGGTGTGGTTCATCGAGATCTAAAGGCGGAAAATGTTTTCATCGTCAGCAACATGTATGTTAAACTTGGTGATTTTGGCTTTTCTAAATGTGTGGCTCCAGATGCTGCCTTGACAACGTTCTGTGGCTCTCCGCCATACGCTGCTCCTGAGTTATTTGTTGCGGATTCTTACACAGGACCAGCTGTGGATCTTTGGGCTCTTGGTGTTCTCTTATTTTATATGGTGACTGGAAGTTTGCCTTTTAAAGCGGATAGTTTACACAAAATTAAACGTTTAATCCTATCAGGTGATTACCGAATCCCAGCCTATGTTTCAAATGATTGTCAAACATTAATCTCAGGATTATTGGTGACTAATGTTGAACGCAGATATACCGTATCTCAGGCGAAAAGTTCCAAATGGTTCAGTGATATTGACTGGCAGCATCTAATGAAACATAAAGATCCAACTCCTGATGAGATTGATGATGCATCTGCTCGGTATCTATTGAAAAAATGGTGGGATGTAGACTCTTATGAATTAGATAAAGCATTAAGTGAAGGCCCTAAAAACAAACTAACTGGTATTTATCGTATTCTTCGTAGTAAAGGTTTACAATACAAGAAAGATCCTACCTTACCTGATCAAAAATATAAAAATAAACGAGGTCGAGTTAAACGTAATGGTTCTTGTAGTACCGGTAAAAATAAACCACGACCAGCTAGTGTATCACATAAAGAATTAACGACTGTTGATTTAAGAGATCAAAAATCTATAAAAAGTGGTGAAAACTCTACGCGAACTTGCAACATTTTGTAAAAAAAAATAAATAATGTATAATTCATTTTCATTTTATTCTTCATTCATTCATTCATTTGTATTTTTTAATGTAAAAAATTTTTATTTCATTTTCTGTTTGTTTATATTATTTTCTCTATAATAATTTTGGATGGAATACAGGTTAAAATGGATTATTTTTTGTAGTCTTTAGCATCACATCATCATGTTACTATTTCTTTGATACATTTTTTTCTTCTCAAAATGTATTATCAATAACTTTTCACCACTTTGGTTCAACTTCACTGATTATTTGTATGATGTAAGATGTTGCTATAATAATAATAATAATAATAATAATAATAATAAACCCATTTCTAACTTAAATATAAACTTATATCACATGTCTTTCTACTGTTGGTATTATTTGCACTGCCTAATATCATGTTTCTTATTTTAACTTATTGTTTGTTTTTTTTTTTTTCAATCATTGTTTTATTTTCAAATCAATTAGAAAAGAAAACCTAATTTCTATTGTTTTCATTAAATTTGATTGTTTCATGTATGTTTATTTCCATTCAATTTACTGAATATTTCAATAAATAATTAATCATTTCTATTGTTCAAATTTCTATTCATTATTATACAAATTACATACATATAATTAAACTAATTTATTGTATTACATGATGATTGGCTGTGAAATAATGATTATTCTCTGATTGGTTGTGCGATTGATAGATCGATTGATTAATCAATCTATCGATTAAATGTGCTTTTTTTTAATAAACAAAAGAACATTATTATACATAATATTGTGATTCATTTAGTTAACTGACCTAATTAAACACCTAATTCCTTGATTAATTCATCATTTATTTGCAATATATTTATTAGTTTATTTTTAACTTTATTTTTCTCTTTCGGGCTCTTTCTTGTGGTTTAACTTTTTATGATTATTATTATTATTAGTTGATTTCATTGTATATTTTCTAAAAGAAAAGTCTCTTTCATCTGTAATATTATCTTTTCTATCTGGTTATTCTATGAATCAAACTTCATAATGAATATATTATTATTATTCTTTTTTATTGGCAATACTTATATATGTTGATGAATCAAAATGGTAAAACTTTATTAATTTCCTTAATTAGTGATTTTCATTCTTCCTTTTAAAATTATTATCAATGAAAGAAGTTGAAATTACATGTAAAGATGCAATCGACATGTAAACTTCTTGTATGTAAACTTGACGATAATCAATTGATTAATCATTTAAATTATCCTGTGTACTTATATTTGATTAAACTGGTTAAATGGAAGGAACCATAAGAATGTTGTCTATCTCTATATCACTAATTATTAATAACGAATATGATACTTGATACTATTTTACAATAAAATGATGGGAAATATAAAAACAAATATATATATATATATTTTTTTCATTACTTTAATCTCAATTATTGTATTTTCTCTTTTCCTATTTTAATCGATCTATTATTTTTGTTTTCTTTTGTTTTGTTTTTGGTTTATTTTCTAAATTTCTTATCCTGGTGTTGTTTCATTGTGTATTGTTTAGATAAAAGACAGACTGAAGTGAAATCTCATTCTTAATACTCTTTTTATAAATTATTTATACTTTTTGTTATATATTACAAATTAAATGGAATTGTTTTCCTACTAAATAGAATAATTGTATTTGATTTTATGTAGAATATATAAATGACAGAATAGAAAAATAAACAATTTTGTTGACCTTTTTAAATCGTCCCGCAAATCTTTTGAGACTGTTTATTTTTGCCTTCCATGAGCAAGAAAGTTATTTCTAGTTAATTAAATTTCATCACTTAATAGATTTGGAGAAAAATCATTTAAATCTGTCTTGTAATATTATTTGACATTGTTGATAAACCTTTGCTTTTCAAGAAAAAAGCTAACAAACTATTAGGTGTTATTGGTCAAGTAAAAATCTGTGGATGTATGCGATTAAAGTTTAAGGATTGACATGATTCTTACTAAGATTACATTGTAAATTTGATTTTTATATGTTCATCACTGTGTACTCAACACTCTTAGTTTAACAAAATGCAATTCCAGTTAACTCTGATCAATATCTTTCAATATCTTAGTTGAAAACATTACTACTAACCAGTTGGTTTGTTTATAATTATATACATAGTTTTCAGACGAAAGTTAGTGTGATGTATTAGCCTTTAAATTTGGTTAAATATATTTATACTTATCATTTGTAGTAAAACTACAAGGACGAGTAACATGCTGTTGTAAAAATCGATCAATTGTGAATAAAAAGCGCTCAACACGTTAAGTGTCGTTTGTTGCTCAAATGCCATAAATAAAATAATTCTATACGAGTTCAGTCTCTATGCAAATTAGTAGAGTTTTAGGAAACAACCTGAATGATATAGGTTTGAAAGCTTGTATGAACAAGTGTTGACATTGTTAAACTGTTTTTAAAAAACATGTGCATGAAAAATTTCACCCTAGAAAACTCATGCCTAGAGAACTATATGAATAACCTGAAGAACTTATTATACTGGATACATTCACTATCAAAAGTGAACTTCACCAATTTTCTAATTCACATAAACAGTGTGAAGAAAAATTAAAGGTTGTAAAGCTCTTTACTAGAATGTAAGTTATGTTTCATTGATTAGCTTACCTTTTCATGTTTCCCTGTAGCAAACTGTCTCACAATGTTTTAAACTTCGTATAAAATAAAAGTTGAGACGTGATAACATTCATTGGATATATTTTAACCACAGTGCAGTTTCATCGAGTAAATAAATATTTTAACAACGATTATAGTAAGGCATAATCAATTAATATTGTTTTTACTTTTTATTTTTCGAACCCTATTGAATCTAAAGGATGAATCACGTGTAGAACTTCAGTACAAAAACTAATGCAGATACCTTTTTGTGAAAGATTCTTTATGTGCATCCGGCTAGATGTATGCAATAAGCCGATACATTACAAACCTGAATTCTATTGGAATATTTAAAATGAAATATACAAATTCTTGAACCGGTTTCATTAAAAATAATACATTTTATGATAATGTAGAAACCATAGCACTTAACTTTTACTTGAATTGTTTTTTCCACCATTGTTTCTTTATTTAATTAGCTCTGTTAACATTGAGTGCAAGATCAATCAACTGTTGATTTATAAGTATAAATATAAACTTTCAGATTGCTATTAATTTAATTTGAATGGGATAACCTTGTCATTATTAAATGAAGGAAACTAATTATAATTATCAAAAACCTTCCTTGATGAAACCCAAACTTATTTCTTAGTGAGACATTTTGATCTAAATCCAACGGGTCTCCAACTTGCTTTTTTGCATTTCAGATCACTCTGAATCACAATATGACTAAAAAACTTTTACTTTTGCTGCGTGTTGTACCATATAGAGTAATAAATATTCATTAAATTGACCAGAATTAAAGCGTCCATTCAAAAAAATCCGAATTATGATAAGTCCAACACCATTATAACGGCAATTTGTATCGGCTCATATAATTTACTGGTTCACTTAACGATTTCTGCTAACACTATTCAGAGGAGTTACTTGCCATTTTTAAATTAAACATTTTGTCGATTGCTTAGAGTAGCTAACTTTAAATTCATCTTCATATTGCTTCAAACATGGACCGGTTGCTTCATCTCAAATAGTTTATCGACACAATAATTACTAAATTTAACAACATATTATTACTTGCCTCACAGCAACCGATCAACATCCAGTACGAAAATGCATGTAAATAATTTCTAAGGAGAGGAAGTTCAGAGTAAAACATTTCATTTCCATATTGACGATTTCCACTCAACATCTAGTGAACAAATCCACAGACTTGAGTGGTTTCAGACACTGTTAATAACCAGTTCGAATGTATATTATCTCGTCGACAATGTCATGCTAAAATCATTGGATCTTCTGACAAAGATTACCTACAAGTGTGATTCATTCAGTTTGATCTGAAGTGCGATTATGTGTATACACCACTGAGAGTTTGATACTGTGAAAAAACAACTCCCCTATGGTTTCACATGTTTATTCATTGTTTCACTACATTTAACCCATGATGTGAACTACGAATGAATGACAGGTGAAGTAGAGATAAACTAAATTTCTAACCGTGATTTTCAATCTGTTAGTTAGTTAGTTAGTTAGTTTGAAAACGGATTCTCTCACGTATGATAGCATTTATTCCCCACTCCTCACAATTCTCACAATCATAGTTTGTTTGTGTTTATTAACCAATAAGTATTTAGAATCATATCAGAATTAGTGAAGCACAAAATGTATGTCAGTCAATCATAGGCGAAATTGTTGTTGCTATTTCCTTTAGTAAATTTATACACTGTTGTTTTTTTTTCCTTTTTTGACAGAATACCAGCTTCTCCCTATTATCTTTGTTTTCTTGATTATATTTTCGTTACAAAGTGCATTATACTAAATTTTAACATCTTTCATAAGAATGTAGTAAGGAATTCATCTTTTCATCAGTAATTAGATACTGAACTTCTATGTTACTATATATTCTCTTATTTTGAATTGTCAGAATCATAAATTCAGTTATAAATAATTATTCAAAGAATATCAATTATATATCTGATATACTACTTAAAACTAAACATTTAAAGTTGAGTTCACTATTTACCAATTCTTAATGTTTAACTCTCACTGTGAACCATTCTGAATCAAACATTAAGTATATATATATATATATATATATATATATATATATATATATATATATATATATATATATATATATATATATAATTAGTGGTAATAACATGTATGAAATAAATTGTAGTAAAGTATATTGATTTTCAAATTTTAGAAATAATTTCTACTTCACTACAACTTTATTTTTTATCTACCTCTTTGAACACAATGTATCCATTTATTTAATAATCAAAATATGTGTATTGAATATGAATAAAATGCTCTTTTTTTTTATTCCAAGCCTACATATTTACAAACATGTATGATTTGATTAAATTATTCAAATTGTATTAAATTGAGCATGTGAAGTAACGTTGGTTACAACAAAACATTATGTGAAGAGTAATGTCTAATAGGCTAATACGCAGACAAGCAAAATAAATTAATATTTTTCTACTGATGAATGTGTATTAGCTCATCTTATTTTAATCAGTCTGTTAGCATATAATCTAATGAAAACCTTTTTTTTTTTTAATTAAAAAAATGATGTGTAGCCAAATTTAAGCAGTGAGAATTGTTACAATTAAGTGTTTTTATATTTATATAAACGGCTAGTATTTAAGTCGTGAAAATTGGTTTATCCTATGATACACCGG